ACCAATATTGGCAGTATGATGCTCCATTTACATAAAATCAGACAAAATGGGATGGGAGCTACATCCAAATCTGAACCGATTTAAACAAAACTTGGCATATATCAATCTAGACCAAAACGTTGGACAACTGCCGGCAGCAAGATATCACCCACACATCGACCAAAGAGAGGCGCAACTCCAACAGCAAATGCTCAGAGGTCTTCAAACACGGCACACACCAGAGCAGATAAGGCAACCGGTAGCTCAGTAACATCAACAAGAAGCAAAACGACTTCAACAGGAAGCGAAAGAACTTCAGAAGAAGGCAAGGGAATTGGAAAAACAAACCAGAATAATTAAACAACAGGGCAAGAAACAGCAAAAGCGAAGCAAACAACAACAAACCAATCAAAACCCACATGCCAAACCACAAACGAACACTGAACAAGAACAATCAATTGAAGAAAATGTCAAACTTCAGGAATCCCAACAACAACCAGTCATATTGGATAGATTTTTATATGTCCTGGAAAAGATAGCGAGTGCATTATCTGTTGCACCAGTGCAAGGGGCCCGGTATGTTGGGAATCTGCCCAACCCATTGGATGACGAAATCGAAATAAACCTCATCGATCTCGATAAATAATTTATCGTTGAGGTCCCATCTCCTCCAATAAAAAAGGGCACTCTTCTTCTTGAAGTTGAAAACTGTGGATCGCCAAAATTAAATATAGAGCCAAAATAAATATCTAATCATTTGTAATAAATAAAAGACCGCCAGAGTCTACATTTGAAGTTAAAATTTATTTGAAGTGTTTAATTTGCAGTCAACAAAACGTAAGTATCGTCTGAATGTTCGTTGTGTTGTTTTAGTTGCAGATTTATATTGTTCTCCGTCTGGTTCAACAAAAATCTTAGATTTTCGACTGTGTCGGAACTTGTACACAGTACTCTGTGCAAAATGTTGTCTCAATCGGACCAATATTGGGAGTTTGGTGCACCATTTACTTAAAATCGGACGAAACTATATATGGGAGCTATAACTAAATCTGAACCTATTTTTCCCAGTTTCAATAGGGTTCGTCCTTGGGCCAAATAAGTGACTTGTGCCAAATTTCATCTAAATTGGATCGTAAATCCCACCTGTACATTGTTTTCAAAAATAGATGGACATACGGACCTGTATAAATCGACTCAGAAAGTGATTCTATATTCTCAAAAGGAACCATAGGTCTATCTTGATTCCTTTTGCCTGTTACAAACATATGCACAAAGACATAATACCCTGTACCACAGTGTTGTGAAGGGTATAATTAACGGTAAAAATAACTAAAATTTTTGAGCTAATCTATTTTTACTACAGAGTTTCTTTAGTTTTTGTCCAAGCAAAAATTAATCCAATTCCCTTATCCATTAATTTATTTATTTCATACTAAAATTGTCATCAAAGCTTTTATTTTTTAAAACTGAATAAAGTACCCGATTTTAAAACTGGAAAAACCACACGGTATCATTATTTTTGATAATATTATGCGGCATTGATTAACCTTGCAATTTTGGTTGCTTTAGTTTTGACCACCGGTATATATATATATATATATTAGGACAGGAAAAATTTTTTGTCGATCAAATCCAACCCTAGGATGATTCTATGGATAATTCTAAGCAACTTTGTTAAAGCAACCATAGGTCTATCTCGATTTTCGAGACTCCCAAAATTATTTTTCCCTATAAAATCATTTTGATTTAAAATTTCATATTGTTTTTCATCGAATATGGGTTTTTTGGGGTCGAGAAATTCATTTCTGATCTTTATTTTTACCTTTGACCACCGCCAGGGGCAAAGCGAAGTTTTTACGTTACCAGCGATACGACGTCAATGAGAAGTGCGTTGGTGCCTGACTTCGTGGTCAACAAGGCATTTGCAGACAACTACAACACAATCCTAATCCAAAAATTTTAAAAATCTTGAAAGGGGGTTTAGATTACTTTCCGATTTAAATTTCAAAACGCCGACACACTTCTATTTTTAGCTCCCATTCATAATAGTTTGGAATTTCCCAGTAATTATTTTTTATGTTGAACAGTGTAATAATGAGGAATGGGACAGATATTATTCTGGAATTGTCTGAAAAAAGTGATATTTAACAAGCCACATTCTTAAGTATTTTTTTTTTATTATATTAGGCATTATTGTTGTTTTCTCCATATTTTATTCTCGTTATACTAGTGTATAGATTATATCTTTAATGATAGTAGTATTTTTGTCATAACATTTTGCAAAAAGTAATTTATTTATTGTTTGTATATAAATATATATTTCACAATTGCATAGCAACGATTTGTTTGTTATAGATTCCATTTTTTAATATGTATGTCTTCATTAATATTAAATGTATTATTACTATATCATATTTAATATTATGTACTTTAATACAATTGTCTTTATATTGATAGGTAGATGGTTTACAAGAGAATTTTTTATTTATTTATGTAATTTACAAAAGGGCTTGACTAAGATTATACGATTAATACACAAAAAGAAAATTTACTCCAAAGCCTGATCTCTAAACATTATAAAATTCTACTGGCTTCAGTTCTAATTTGGTAGACAAACTTTTTAACCACTATCATACAAATTATTGGGGATTGCGAAATGTGAATTTCTTAATTCCAAAAAAAATATGAATTTCAATTCACATTTCCCAAAATCTTTATAATAGGCGTGATTCAAATCTCTGAACATAATCTGACTTTGGAAATAGATAAATACATTTTTAACAGAGTAACCATGGCATAATTATGCCATGCAATGCAATTGATCGTAATAACAGAACATAATACAAAATTAAAAAATAACATATTTATCGACCAGAAATAAAACGAAAAAATTAATAAATCAAAATGTGCGGATGTAAATGAAAACAAGCGCGATTAACAAAAAATATAACGGCTACAAAACATTAAGGGGATGCTGGATGGGAATTGGCAGTGGTTTCAAGGGTCATCATACAAGGGGATGGTAAGTAAGGATTTATACATATATTTTTTCATATTTCAATAAAGTACCTTCTAGAGATTACCAGAACCAGGTTTCCCACTTTTTGGAGAACTTATGCAGACAGAAATATTCCTGAAGTGTTTAAAATGAACGAAAATATTCCATGTAGGTATTGATTTATACATAGAAACCCCACCAGGAGCTCTCCTATATTTATTAAAAAATTATCTTCTAAATGGACTTTTGGTAGTCTTTTATAGACAGAAGGTTATCTATAGGAAAATATCGGAAGCTTCTAAAGGCAAAATACCTTATTTAAGATCTATGAACGTATTTTATGGTCTGAAGCTCTGTATGTGACTGTCCTACACAGATAAAAGTCCGGGCCTTTCTGAATACCTATTGTACATAAATGACTATCTGAAAATCTTCAATAGAAAAAGATCTACTACCGTCCACCATATCATACATAGGCAAAATACCTTTAGCAGGCCTTTCACAGCTAAAATATTTTCTGAAAATCTTTTGCAGACAAATATATCATGAAGGTCTTTTATACGTACTGCCCAATATGTCTTTAATGATATAGAATTCTGAAGGTGTTTACAGACAAAATATATTTGTAGGCAGAACAGCACCTGAATGCTTTTCAAAGCTTGATGATGATCTCTGATGATCTTCTACAGACAAATTTTGTAACATTATACAAGTAGTACACCTTCCGGAACAGAACACCCTCATAAGACTTTCCGGATGTGTTGTCTCAAATTAATATTTTCTAAACGTCTTCCAAAAGTAGATATTTTTAAGACCTAAGTTATCCGGAGGTTTTCTATAATAATAACTAAAAAAAGTTCTAATAACTTCTAAAAGTCCTATGTAGACCTCTATTGATATCAGAGACTTGCATTGAGTTAGACTTCAATAGATGAAAGTCCTAGTAGAGACCTTCTATAGAAAGGACCCTTCTGAATCTCTTCTAAAGAAGCAGGACATTTAAGGGGTATTCTAAAGAAAGGCCAAAACTTTTGGAGGTCTTCCATAAAAATAACGACTTTGGAGAGTTTCAATACCCACGATTTTTTTTAGAGATATGACCTTTTCTTCTACGGAAGTAGTAATTACAGAATGTTTTTATTCGAAGAAAATGTTGTAGGCCTTCAATATCCAGAGCCGATTCAGAGAGGTAAACAAAAGCCCTTCTACAGAGGAGGACCTACAGCAAGGGTATTCAGGCATTCTATGGGCGAGGATAATTGTGCAATCCTCGCACAATTCACAGTTATTCGATAGACTGACTATTCTTGGAGAGCCTTTAAAACCCTCCATCTTTCAAACTTCTTCTATAAAGAAAAGTTCATCCTGAAGTCTTCAAAAGACAACAGATTTTCTTGAAGTCTTTTATAAAAACAAAATGATCTTTACGAAGTATGTTAAAAATATAAGAGTTTTTACAAGTATACATATAAGGCCAGGAGGTTTTGTATACCTATAAGATATTCACTATTTGGGTCTTTGATTTAAATATGATCTTCGGGAGGTATTTTATAGTAGAGCACTTAATTACAAGTGTACACAGTAAACCCCAGGAGGTTCTATATAAATATGATGCCTAAGTTCTATACAGATGATATGTTAAGAAGATTTCCCATATGCCACATAATTGCTACTCCTTGAAACCACTGCTCGGATTTTTGGATGTCTAAAAAAAACTCAAAATTTTTTGTTGTGGTGCACATCTGAAACCAAAACTAATTAAAGGTTCCATTATCAATTTTCTTAATTTCGTTTTTTTTCTCTCTTTTATAAGTAACCGAATTTTTTGTTCATCTTCTTCTTTTGTTTTTTTCCTACTTCTATTTTGTTTTTTCTTTTTGAACAAAATCCAATTGATTTATTAAATTTTTTCCATTTTATTTCAGGACTTTAAATGTCTCTAAGGATGTTAGTGAGTATTTAGCAGAGTAGCACAATTCGGCTACCTCCATTAATTACTCAAAACATCCACAGCGTTTTAGTGACATTTAAAGTCCTAAAATTGTTATAATGATGATTTGACAGCAGCGGTGCTTTTCCTCAACATGCCATAGAAATCGGCTAAACGTGTTGCCTCACGCCAGCCGGCCTCCACGGCACCATGTACCGTCGAAAAGTAATGATCACTTGTTGCCTCACCGGCAAATTGCACTATGGGTTTATCACAACGTGATTGATTGTATAGCGGTTCCACTGTCGGTTCACCATTCAATACCGGTTTGGTGGTCACCACACTTAACGGCTGTGCCAATTCACGGGCACTGGTGCCCACTTCCTCGGTGTACATGGAACGAAATGAATAGGAACCACGGAAATTTTCATTGGTATACCATTTGGATACACGGAAGTTACTGGGTTCGGGTATCTCCCATTGTAGGAATTTCCTAAATAAAAACATACAACCTGCGAGTATTTCATCTTCGGGCAGTGTTTCCATGTGGCGGCCATTGGCACCAATTATCCAGCCGCTCAACAGCCTAGGTTGATTGTGGTCACAATAGAAGCCAAAAACATCCTCCAGCCAGGCCCGTGATGTGCCACGAATCTCTTTAATATCTTCGTCCCGCCACAGCATCGTAAAGCCAGTCCATTTGTCGGGCCAAAATTGCTGCGGGAATTCTATGAAAATCTTGTTGACCGTACCAAATGCCAGACCATCAATGGCCCGTTGTTTCTCCACCGGTAACTTGGGTTCGAATAATTTTATTTGCTGTTCCTTCAGCACACCGAGGGATACGGTTAATATCACATGATCCGCCACAAAGCTATCACCATCCTCGCAACGTATCTGCACACAGCAATCATTGCGGTTCCACTCAATTTTCGTCACCTGTTTGTTGAGTAAAATCCTCTTCTCCAAAATTCCCCACTCCTTATTCACCTCTCGCGACTTCATTAGCAGACGTAAAAATTCCACATAGCCTTTGTCCTTCCAATTTAACAGGATGTCGCCCTCACATTCCCAATATTCCAAATAACCCTTACCCGATACATCGTCCAATGTGTCCGAAGCCTCAACGGAATTTTCGAATTTCTTATAGTTTTCGAAAAACTCCCTGGCTATCGCCATATCAATATCGGAATTTTCCGGTCGCCGCAAAGCCTCATAGAATTTATTATTCAAATAGCTGCCCAGCGAACCGTTGCAGTTGCGTAGCTCCATTTGTCGTGTCACCAGACTATCGTTTACAATGTCTTTCAGTCGTTGACTGACATCTTCAGGTACAACTTCACGATTAGAGCGGACACATTGATATGATTCGTAGACATCGCCGGTGGACTCGAGCAGATCGTGTTTATGGGCCAATTCATAGACCATGTTGTCCTTTTCGCCATGGCACCATTGGGCACCCAAATCAATGACATTGTCGGCAAAGGGTATGGTGTGTATACGGCCACCGATACGCGATTCTGCTTCGACAATTATCACATTTTCGAAACCATAATCGAGTAGTTTTGTGCCACAGGCAATACCGGAAGCACCCGATCCAATTATGACTATTTTTGGTTGACTCATTTCCAACGGCAGCAGTCTGTCAAGAAGGTAGTTGTGTTGTTAATGTGAGGGGATTTTTGTTGGTGTTACAGGGGGTGGTGGAAATAACAACAAAACGAAAAGGAAGTTCGGTGATGTTCGAAGAAAAAACTGAAGGAAGAGTTATCTGTAAAGAGGAGATACAAAAAAAAGAAAATTAGTATTAAATATAAAATATTTTATTTGAAGGTGAATGAGAATCTTTGTCTTTATTTATCGGTTTAAATAACATGAAAATGAAAATCCATTGAATAAAAATAATTTTAAAAATATTTTCCTGTTAAAAACCAAGGTAGAAGGTATTCAATCTATAGATAGAATAAATTCAGGAGGAGTTTTATAAAGCAGCATTTGCGATATTCTGTGTGTATAAAAACATTTCTTCTTCTACGAACTTGAGGAGATCTTTCACCCTGAGGAGATCTCAGACCCTTTTATTGTTATTCCTATATATACTGTGGATAATAGATCCATCGAATCTCATTTATAACCAGGAGTAGAAAAACTTGTGGAAATTTTCTATT